GTAGGCTAAAAAACTGCCATATACCGCGAACCTCCTGGGCTTGCTTTGCCGCAGGCAGGTTGACCTTGTGTCTGGGGCTGTCATATTTGTCACTGTTGAGGGCTGCCATATGTTGGGTAGCGAGTCTAAGGCGCGACATTTGTTGTAAATAAACTGTTGAAATACGTTATAAGCCTCAATGACAATTTTCAATCAGGATTATTTGTTGACAATCGTAAAAAAAAACAGGAGAGGTTTGGGTCTGGGTAGGAAAAGTGGGGGGGGGGGGATACGGGAGGAAGGTAGGGTAGACCGGGGCAAGTCGCCCCGCCGAGGTAAAACGCCTCACCGATGTTTCTCGGAACTGGCAGAGTTCTGGAGAAACATCCTCTCTTCTATAAAACGTGCACTATATGATTATTATATGAGCAGACTGGAAAGAAACTGTGATGACTTTTTCGGGAGATATAGCCAAAAATGTGTTTTTTGAGTGATTTTTATGTTTTGTTGTCAGATTATGCATCATGGCGTTCTTTTATGGTCCACATCAGGTTAACGACTTTTATGTATTTTGAACAACTATTGTCTAACGCTTATCATGCCGGGTTGGTTCGTGTTAAATTATGTCTTCCTGGAGTGCAAAGCGTTGTTCTCTGACCGAACTACGTGATGGGGTAAAACGCCCCAGTAGGTCGTGGGGCAAAAAGCCCCATGGGGCGTTTTACCTCATGTGTTGTTCGGGCTACCCACTTTCTAATGTTCGGTAGCTGGCGAACAGTAAGTTTCTATGCCTTTATGTGTATTTTTCTCAGCAACTGGATGGCAAAGGAAGTATTCTGTAAACATTTGCATTGCAATAATTTATTATTTGGTCTTATGAGGCAGGTGAAAAACCTGCTCATACAATAGTGTCATAGCTGAACACCTGACAGGATGGAATGTGCTAACTTCAGAGCCGTGCCTCCAGAGGTCTAACGGACCTCTCACATAAGATTAACCCGGCAGGCGGTGGGCCTACCAGCCACCTTCCGCGCGGTGGGGGGGGGCATTTTTTTGCCCCCCCCCCGTATCTCCGAAACTACTGGACGGATCCGGAAAATTCAAACGGCGTTCGATAGCCCTGTCAAATTTGTCGAAGGAAACCAAATTTCATTGACCTCGGGGTCACCGATGACGTCACAGGTCAGGTCAAAGATAAAATGTTTCACCGTTCACGGGGCTTCTAGGGAAAGCGCTATAACACCGAGTAAAACGCATTTTGTCGAAAATCAGCGATAAGGCGTCAGTTGTCTAGTACATATGTTGCTATTAGAGGTCACTGGTTATACCAGGTCAGGTCACAGGTCAGGTCACCAAAGGTCACCTAGGGTCACCACATGAGCCCAACTTTACTAAGGTTATGTGATGCATGTTTTATGGCCAGTTTTTCATTTCCAACTCAATGGTGTTGGTTATAAGACCATCAGGTACGGTTTAGGTCACTTTCTGGTGGAGGTCAGGTCAAGGTCAGGTCAAAAAAGGTCAAATTTCAAAGTTGATATTTTTGCATAAAATGGGTATCGATTCGATGCAGCTCGTCACGGGGAGTCTAATGGTGGTCTTTGTTTTGCGCTACGAGGTCTAGAATTGCTAAAAATTGAGCTTGAAAATTTGACGTCATCAATTTTGAACAGTTTTTTTTTTCGCTATAACTTGGCCAAAAAAAGAGGTATCGATCTCAAATTTGGTATGTAGACAGAAGGTGGTAGGGACTATCATATTTATTCCGTTTTTTTCGAAATTCAAAAAACTTTTTGGATTTTTTGGCTATTATATTCAAAAAATCTATTTTTTGATTTTTGGGGGTCAAAATCCAAAAAAATGCGAAAACCGAAAGAACGGTTTTGTAGCCCTTTTGATTCCACGCCTTTTATGTCGCAAACATTTTTCTGTATCTCTAAAGCTGTAGGCCTGACAGCTCTTCCCGCGAAACCTTTTTTTTTGGTCGAAAATGGCAAAAATGACGTCACTCTGACGTCATTAGCGGCCAACCTATCATTGCCTTTGGAAAACTTTTTGGTCACCATGTGCGCTAGCTGCTCCCGGGAGGGTACTGAAAGTTTGGTGACGATCGGCGCAGCGGTTCTAGAGATATATCGAAAAAACTAAAGGGGGGGGGACAAAAAAATGCCCCCCCACCGCCTGGAAGGTTAAGCCAACTACCATGTTAAATCTGTAATCTAAAGTATGGGGCTACTTGCCCCAGGCCGTGGGGCGTTTTGCCCTGGGGTTGGGGCAAAATGCCCCATTTGCAGTTGCTTCACAAATCACTTCCTAGCTTGGAGTCCGATCATAAGTGAATGAACTTGAGGGGTGCAATTTAAAGTAAAATGTCCAAAGAACGCATTGAGCACAAATTTGGCCTTCCAGGTGATGTGGGACAAATTTTATGTAGCAAAATAAGTTATCTGGGGCGTCTTGCCCCAGGCTACCCTACCATAGGAAGGTTGTCAGACAAATTGCAATGCAACAGTGAGGAGTGACCATAGGCGTAGGAACAGGGGGGGGCCGGGGGGGCCATGGCCCCCCCACTTTTTAGCCATTTTTTAAAGTAAAATCTTTATTTTTTATTTAAATACAAAACTAAGAGCAGGAAATGATTCAGCAAGGTGAGATGAGCACAAAACTGCAAAGAATTTCTTCATAGGGGTATTGGGGCTCCCACAAAGTGACATTGAAGTTTCGCTGGCCCCCCCACTTTTCGTGAGGTTCCTACGCCCATGGGAGTGACCATGACAACACATTACATAACTGTGTTTGACGACACATTGTACACAATTAACAATACGCATTCACAATGTTTTGAAGCTACGTTAGTCAATGATGCGGAAATGGTAGCCGCAGTTTATGATTTTTCTGCCTGTAAGACTGGCCTGGGACAGAGGTTTCTCAGGTCAATGACTGACCTGAGAAGGTGAAACTGGGTATCATTGGATTCGTCTTTTCCCAAAGAATCTCTTTGGTTTTTACCGCGAAGCTCTATCTCCATCAGGAACAAAATGGCGCGGGGGGTGGCAACCACCCCCTCCCCATGTGCGTTCTAGGATGGGAAAATGGCATGTGCGGGCGAGGGTTAATGCAGCCCTCAGAGCCGCGACAGTAGAGCGCACACTGGGTGATGAAGGCGGCAGTAGAGCGCACACTGGGTGATGGAGGTGTCTTCTACGGCCAAAAGAGGGTTCGAGGCGTAGGTTATGGTGTGGGAAAGATAGACGGAGGAGGAGGAGGTAGAGACGAAGGAGAGAAGAGGAAGAACGAGAGATAGAGGGAGCATGGCTGAGGAGAGAGAGAGATAGGGAGAAAGAGAAAGAGAAAGAGAGAGAGAGAGAGAGAGAGAGAGAGAGAGAGAGAGAGAGAGAGAGAGAGAGAGAGAGAGAGAGAGAGAGAGAGAGAGAGAGAGAGAGAGCAGTCGTCGACACGTTACACCAACAGACATGCCCCAGAGAATGTAGCCGTAATGACCAGACCCCTAACTATGACGTCACCGTACGATATGACGTCATACAGCGGTTCATTCCCGTCAGGTCACTGTTCCACGCTCCACTCTTCACACAGGCCGTGTGGCCCGCCCGGGGTCACAGTTGTGACTGTTCCGGAACACCAGAGGTCACACAGGTGACCCGAGTTTGACCTGAGACACCACTTCCGGCCAGTGCCGGCCGTCGGAGGGGCCCCTCAGACGATAGCCGAGAGCCGACGGAGCCGATAGCTGCGCCGCCGATTGCAGGGAGCCGCATTCCCCGCCGTTTTTCAGAGTGGCGACGCGCCGGGACCTCTTCAGTGCTGTTGACACTGCCGATGGCACAGCCGAGGTGGACCCGATAACGCGGCGTTGGTCAAACATTGCATGGCGCAAGCAGCTCTCCAAGGGACAATCCATCACTGAAATATGTGGCCCGGTACTGATATAGCTAATGCATCGTGATGACTAGCCCGTCTTCACTAATCCGAACAAGGTATGTCTGGTGTACTCTGTCCTGTGTCGCGTGAACTCGACTGGCGTCTGGGAGGGGGGGGGGGGGTGCTCAGCGCTTCGGGCACGGTGCACTGGCGGTCACGGGGCCGATAATACTGCTGACCTCTGACCCCGGCCATGACCCGAGGAGGATCTCTCTCCCTCTCTCTCTCTCCCTCTCTCTCTCTCTCTCTCTCTCTCTCTCTCTCTCTCTCTCTCTCTCTTTCTATCGGTCAGTTCTTCTCATTGGCTGCCGTTCGTCCGGTGCTGCTGGGGGTGACACTGGTGGCGGATTGGGAGACGGGATGACGACTGGGGACGTATTGGGAGACGAGATGACGACTGGTGACGGATTGGAAGACGAGATCGAGAAATGATCCTCAGCCGCGCTGGTCCCGGGGGTTTTGGCAACCCATCTCCCTGCGATTTTTAGCAGATATATAAAAACACGACGGCGCAGAGCAACGCTTTTTTGTACACATATTCATGCATCTTTTCCGCCCAAGTTGTGAGAATTCCAGACCCAGGTCGCCTAAGGCCAGGTCACCAGGTCACGCTAAGTGGCCTCATCTCAGAAAAGACTGTGATGGAGCTTTCTACGGCCGTACAAAGTAAGAGAGCTCGTCATGGCTTCATCGGCTGAACGATCGCTTTGAAACTCTCAGCTATTGGCAAGAGTAGCAGTATCTATTTACATTTCGGAATTTCGGTATCGGTGATCAACGGTCAGACCAATTTCACAAACTCTCCATTATCAGTCAATGGAAGAAAAATACCTAATAATTCAATGGCGTCACTTTTGGACGAACGCCATTCTAGACACTCTCAAACATCGGGGTACAGGTAAGTACACTTGACATACTGAATAGACAAGTTGCAGGTCTGTCACCCCGTATTATGTCCCCGAGGTCATCCAAGGCCCTGAAAGGTCCCCATCAACTTTTTGGCAATAGTTTCTGATAGACATGGAAGAGCGATACAAACACCTAAGGTGTATTCATATTGTAGTGTCGTCCTGCCGTCCTCGTCCGCCACTCACAGTCAGTCTTCTCACATAGACGATGGTATTGAACTCAAAGACAAAAAGGACATAACATAAGAGATACAGAACAGCGCGCTCCGCGCCTCTCAGCCCCCGGCCGGCGACTCCCGCCCGGGCGCCGCCCAGCCGCCCAGCTGGCCAGTCTGCCCCTGTGGCATGCTGTGCCGCCGCGAGCGCCCCGCCGGGCGGGCGGCCCAGACACTACATCTTTCCCCCCCTACACAAAGGCACACCTACGGACACCAACGCACAGGTGCACGAACACGTCTCCCAGATCGCGTGCGGTGCCCATCACTCTGAGCACCCTCGAACCCGGAGCCGCTCGTCTCACTGTCCGGCGAGCGCGTCGCCGCCGCTGTGTCCACCGCGGGTGCCGCAGCTGGTGATCCCGGCACGTCGGGCTGACGATCCGGCCGCCGCTCTGGAGTCCGTGCCGCCGCCGCGGCCTCAGCCGGAGGCTCGTCGACCGGCTCCGGCGGGGAGCGGACGACGGGGAGATCCGAGAGCTGCGGCTGCCCGGCGTCTCCCAGTCCGGTCGGAGGCGACCCAGTCCAGCGAGTCAGCCTCTCGGCGTGGACCAGTGCTCCACTGTCCAGCCGGTACGCCGATGGTCCAACCAGCTCAGCGATCCTGTGAGGAGCAGAAAAACGGTCTCTACCTTTTCTGGGCACAGGCATGACACGGTACCTCACCCAGTCACCGACACTGAATGACGGTTTGACAGATCGGTTCCTCCTGTCCCAATACGCTTTCTGCCGCCTCTGCCGTTTAGCGACACGGTGCCTGGTACGGGCACTGTCGGCCGCTACCTTACCCGGAGGGTGCGTGGGTGCATGCAGCATCGTCCGGAGTTGACGACCATGCAGCATCTCCGACGGACTCAGGCCGGTGGTTGCATGAGGCGTCGAACGGTACGTCCTCAGGAACTGGCGCACCGCCTGTGACCAGTCCTGCTTCTCCTTGGACGCCGTCTGCAGCGCGGACTTCACCACTCTGTTCATGCGCTCCACCGCTCCAGCGCCTCTGGGGTGGTACGGCGTTACCCGTACATGCTGAACGCCGACCCTCCGCAGGTAAGCCGTGAATTCTGCGGACACAAAAGCCGTACCGTTATCAGAGACCACCTGTAACGGGTACCCCTCTCTGGAAGCAACCACCTCCAGGAACTCGATCGCCGCCTCCGTCGACGGGCTCGAGCAGAAGCCAACCTCTGGCCACTTGGAGAAGTAGTCCACCAGAACGATGGCGAACCGCTGCCGCTGTCCTCCGCCCTCCATCGGCCCGATGAAGTCGACCCCGACCTTCTCCCACGGTCCTTCAGGCAGCGGTACAGGGTGCAGCGGAGCGTTCCTCGGAGTAGCCGTCTTGTCTGAAGATGCACAAACCTCGCACGCTCTGACCATCTCTTCCACCGCTGCATCCAGTCCAGGCCACCAAAAGTGCTGCCTAATCCGCTGCTTCGTCCGGACTATTCCTTGATGTCCCTCGTGTGCTGCTGCTAACAGACGCTGTCGGAGGCTGGTCGGCACCAGCAGACGCTCTCCCCTGACCAAGACATCTTCTACAGCTCCAAGCTCCCCCCTGAAGCGGTAGAACGGCCTGAGAACTGCCGGACAGTCTCCGTACCGCTTCGGCCACGGCCGTGGGATCTGCTCTGCCAGCTGCTGCAGCTGAGGGTCCGACCGAGATGCCGACACCAGCTCCTCCCTCGTCACCGCCTGCAGATGAGCTTCAACTGCTGCTACGGTGATGCTCTCGTCATCAGCTGCCTCCGTCACAGGTGCTGGCAGACGCGACAGTGCGTCAGCGGTGTTCTCGCCGCCGCCGGTGGCGTCCTGGCCTTCCGGCTCACTCAGGTGTACGTCAACTTCTTGCTTCTGCTGAACTGGTGCTGCTACCTCCACCAGCCGAATTCTGTGAACCTCTGTGATGCGGGGAAACGAACATCCTTCATGTTCATCTGACTGATCAGCTACAGCACAAACCGTACTGCCATGTACTATTGATACCTGGAGCAACTTCTGCAAGTCACGACCCAGCAGTGCTACCGATCCCTCCACCACGTACAGCGAGGCGGGCACAGACAGACCACGTGACTCAACATCACACTTCAGCATGCCAGCAACAGGCAACTCGGCACCCCCATAGGACTCAAGTCTGACTGGCGCTGGCTGTAGAGGTAAGTTACCAAACTGAGCCTGATACTGCTCCAACGGCAAAATGGAGACACCTGACCCACTGTCCACCATGAATTTCAGCCACTTGCCTGCTACCTTCAGCTGGATGTACGGACGAGTGTCTTCAGTTGGAGACGTCACTGCAACCGACAGCACTTGGACGCTGGCGACGGGCTTCTCTCCAGCAGTCTTCTCCCCCTTCTTCGGGCAGCATCGCCAGAAGTGGCCAACCTGGTGACAGTCGTGACATACGGCGACACGTGCAGGACACTGCTCATCCGTACTCCAATGACCCACACGTCCACAAGCAAAACAGGTACCAGCCCGCCCTCCAGAGGGGCTTACCTTCCGTCTTGAAAGTGGAGTCGCACTGCGCGTGCCGTGAGCGTACCGCTTGGTGGCCGTTGCTGCAACGCTGACCGGTGCCTGCTCCCGCTCTGCAGCTGCAGTCTGCAAGCGTCCCACCGCCTGCTGTCGCTCCAGCGCCTGGTCCTATGCAAGGGCAATAACCTCCAACCGAGGCAGAGTCAGATCATCCTCCCTGCAGAGACGTTCACGCAGACGAGCAGACGAGCACCCCTCTAGGAACTGGTCCCTGATCATTTCGTCTTCAAGGGCCCCAAACGCACACCTCTGGCTACGTTCTCTCAAGTTCGCCAAAAAGGTACGAACAGTGGTTTGGCCCTGGGTGCATTTGCGAAACAAAACTCTCTCAGTGATCACATCTGACTTTTTCTCAAACAAACGACTCAATACAAAAGTAAATAATAATAATAATAAAAACAAGATGCTCCCATACAGCCAGCATCCAGAAAAAAACTGCATTACTGAACATGAACATAACACTATTCTAGTTACATACTCAGCTGATAAATTAAGCAAACATGTACTTATCAAACCTCGTGTTCCTCTCCTCATATGCTACCTAGTCATTTTCATCCTTCTTTGTGAGGATTCAGCCTTGGTGGTGGGGCCGGGCCACAGCACCCCAGCGACATCTATTAAAGATACTTATCCTTCACTTCAACTAAATGATTCTAGATGGCGCCCTGATTATTATCATTGTGTTAGAGAATATACAGTGATAGGTGTTTGCCTCTAATTACCAAAAATATTGAAAGAAAAGCTTGAACTGGCTACAATTTGCCAGGCTACCAGGCTGCATTCTGTAGCAGATCAGCTGGTGCGGGTGGAGGCTCAGCAATCTACAGTCTGAGTTATCTGTCCCCAGAATGCCTAGACAGTCCTACATTCACTACGGCTGAGGTTATTTGCACAAAGATTAAAATTCAAAATACATGTCTCATCATATGTCAAATATATCGATCACCTAGTACTGACAAACATCAGTTCAATGAAGAACTTGAAAAACTACTCATTTGGCTTAACAATCTTAACAAGATCACTTTGATTACTGGTGACTTTAACTTTGATCTTCTCTCAATTGGATCCAATCCAGCTGTTCAAGCTTTTCTACATAACCAACTGTCTCATGGCTTTTTCCCTACCATTTCAAAAACAACACGCTCCTGCCACCCATCTCACACTCTTATCGACAACATCTTCTGCAATGATTTGACAAGGGTGGCACACTCGGGCATTATCCTAAGTGATCTATCCGATCACTTTCCTATCTATGCATCTCTAAATGTTCACATAAACACTGCTAAGGAGCAAATAAAATCGACAAATGAGCAACAGATATTTGATTATAGGAAGATTGATGAATTCAAATCCTATATATCAAATGAACTTAGAAATATTTATCAAGAAACTTGTACTAATACCATGGCAAACAAAATAATTGAAACATACAACAATGGCATAACAACCTTCTCTTACACAAAAAGATTCACCAGGAAAGACCATCCGAGGATGCCATGGATCTCTCCAGCTATCCTCACCTCTATTACCCAAAAAAACAAGTTGTTTAAAAATAAGCTAAAAAATCCTTCACATAATAATACAACTCAGTACAATCAATATCGGAACATTCTCACGCGCGTCATTAGGTCTGCCAAAAGATTGTATTACATTAATGAGTTCAATAAAAACTCTGGCAACTCCAAAGAAACATGGAAAACTATACAATCTTTGATAAACACTGGCAACAAAACTGATGATATTCCTTGTGAAGTTTCAGATGGCAATGACAAAACAGTAACTGATGATCAAAATATTGCAGAAACCTTCAACAAATTCTTTTCCGAGATAGGTGAAACTTTAAGGAAAAGGATACCACCCTCACCATTTGACCCACTGAGCGAAGTACCATTCGTGCATGAAGAAATGGATTTGACTCTTACAAATGAACAAGAACTTATCGATATAGTTAATAAACTGAAAAACGTCGGTGCTGGTATCGACAACATTAACTCTAAATTGTTTAAAGCTTCATACAAGGCCATACTAAATCCTTTACTTTACTTCTTGAACACCTGTTTAAGCAAAGCTGAATTTCCATCACCCCTAAAAGTGGCAATCATCAAACCAATATTTAAGGATGGCGATAAAAAGCAAGTGGGTAATTATAGACCAATTAGCATTTTACCCTTTATTTCAAAAATTCTTGAAAAACTAATATACCGAAGGCTCATTGAGCATCTTAACCGAAGCAACATAATTCACTGTAATCAATTTGGTTTTCAAAAAGGAAAGTCAACTTATATGCCGATTCTTCTTCTACAAGATATAATTACTAAAGCCTTTGAAGAGGGCAACTTTGCGCTCGGCTTATTTCTAGATGTAAGAAAAGCTTTTGATACGGTGCACATTGATTTGCTACTACAAAAACTACAAAGGTATGGTATAAGACACAAATCACAACAAATATTATCTTCATACTTGCAAGAAAGGAAGCAATGTGTGAAAATAAGAAAAGCATACTCATCTGTCAAAAATGTTACTATGGGAGTTCCGCAGGGATCGATCTTGGGTCCTCTGTTATTTATATTATATATAAATGATTTACCAAACATCAGTCCTGACGTAACTTGCCTCTCCTATGCAGATGACACTGCAATCATATTTAAAGATAAATGCATACATAGCCTACAAAGAACTGTAAATGAAGTTACTGAAAAAGTCAGTAACTGGTTTCATGCAAACTTTCTTTCTCTAAACGGCACAAAAACTTTCACACAGCATTATGCAACTCAGTCTTCAGGGTTAAAAGTAAATGTAGTACTTGATTCAACTGAAATTAAAGAGAAAGAGTTTATCAAATATTTAGGAGTCTTCATCGATAAGTCATTGAAGTTCACAAAACATATAGACTATACATCAAATATCGTTAGCAGGAACATCGGAATAATGGCAAGAGTACGCTTCTATATTGATAAGAGAACGACCCTCCTTTTGTATAATGCCCTAATTCTTCCATATCTTAACTATTGCTGTATCGTATGGGGAAATAATTACCATGCTCAGTTAGAAAAACTCATCATATTACAAAAGAGAGCTGTCAGACTAATTGAACGAGTTTACCCACCTCAGAGCTCTGTGCCTATTTTAAAAAAATATAACTTATTAAGGATAACTGATATAGCGAGATCTCATATGCAAAGAAGGTGATACGCAGACACTTTGTTGATTCATACAACACTTAAGATAAATATGAACAATTAATGAACAATCAAAACAATAATAAGAATAATCAACCTCATAGCGACAAACATTATACCTACCTATACATTGTGTATAGCTATACTGTTCGTATATCGTTAGGGGTTTGTGTAAATATGTGCTATTTCCACGTTGTACTGTGCGTTGGAAATGGCACATATTACCCACTTTGGTTTGTGGGATGCATATGTGTCGTATGTGTATGTAGTGTGTATGTTTTGCATACATAATGCATATGCATATATGTACGCATGTGGTTGTTATACATGTACACAGCATAACGATTCGTGTATACCTATTTTAAATACCAACTACAATACATCCTTGTGTGCCACCCTTCTCAATCATTGTCTATTTCAATTTGCATATTTGTCTTATGATATCTACATGCATTACCTACATTGACATGTATACAACTTATGGTACCAATTCTCAGAATACTCTAGTCCGTGCTGTTTCCTGAGGTTCTGTCCGGCAACAAGCCTAGCTTAGCCGGACGGAGCCAAGGGTTTCGGCAATAAAAAATGGCCTTGCAAGAACATGACCAGGCATGCTTTTCCCCACCTGAGTATGAATGCGTATTGCGTTAATTACTAACACTGGTATAAATGATAGTTGCTGGTGTTGGTATAGTGGGCAGTCATTTTGCTTCACTCGGCAATGACTACTTTCCTCCTTTTTGGCGTACTTACTAACATTTTTTAGTAGTATTGCATGCGTTATATTTTATTTATATTTTCCACTTCTTAGCAGGGAGTGCCGCGACTTGATCAATTTATTATGTTACCTGGTGTTAAAGTAAGGTCTCTGTGCGTCGCCGGGACTGTGGGAGGGGGCACTCCTGGTTACCTGATCATGGGTAACGGACTATCTTAGAAAAAAAAATACGTCAACAGTGGCATCGACCAGTGACATTGTAGCCGCACGCCCCTCAAACTTTGGCTCAACACCGCCCTGACTTGGGACCCCTGTTGGGCACTCCGCCCTGAACAGCCTCCTGGCTTCCTGTCCCACACAATGAAGAAGCAGTGCCTGACGCCTCTGCTCTCCCCAGTCAGTCCATCCAATGGCCATGGCATACACTTCAAAATCTGATAGCCAAGCAGACCATGACGTTAGCGGCTTGCCCGGGGTGGCTAACAAGGGAGCTGGCGGACGTATCCCCTCCATCTTAGCCGACTGCACTGTACCTTAAAGCTGGGAGAGTCGCAAATCCTCGTCGCCAAAATTGTGTAGTGTCGTCCTGCCGTCCTCGTCCGCCACTCACAGTCAGTCTTCTCACATAGACGATGGTATTGAACTCAAAGACAAAAAGGACATAACATAAGAGATACAGAACAGCGCGCTCCGCGCCTCTCAGCCCCCGGCCGGCGACTCCCGCCCGGGCGCCGCCCAGCCGCCCAGCCGCCCAGCTGAGTGCTGTTCACGGGCACCTGCGGTAGCTGCGGTAGCTGCGGCTCGGCGGTCAGCCGGGTAATGACGTCACAGAAAGTGGGGATGTGGCGGGTGGTGTGACGTCAAACGGCTGCGGCCGGCTGCGGTTCTCTGCGTCTCCTGCGGTCGAAACGATCCGACCGCAGCGGCCGCAGGAACCATTTGTCATGTAAAGTGGCGCGGCAGTTGCGCATTCGTGTAACTTGGGCGGAAAATTGACGCAGCCGCCTCAGACAAACGCGTGATGACGTACGCACAAGTGGGCGGAACTTACAGCCTGCGATCTACCGCAGCTACCGCAGTTACCGCAGGTGTCCGTGAACAGCACTCTGGCCAGTCTGCCCCTGTGGCATGCTGTGCCGCCGCGAGCGCCCCGCCGGGCGGGCGGCCCAGACACTACACATATTTATTCAAGCTGTCTGAATAGACCTAGGTCTAGGTCTGCCGTCTGAATAGACCTAAGGTATTATTCAGATTCAAATATTTGATGATAACTTAGTGGTTTTAGCACTCAGGATGACGTCGCAGTGCTGGCGTCATAAACTGTTGTCGCCCTCCTATATGGAGCATTCCTGATGTCGCTGAGCGTGAAACGCAACAGTAAACGAACTAAACAGCACCTGCTGTCATCCTGACACATCTCTTGGTACCCTTTCAACTAGTTCCTGACGAGTGATCAGTCGTTCTACATATAAATTGATATCATATGTCGGATATATCGTGAGGAAACTAGGAAACGCCTATCTTCTATTTGACTCCTAACGTAACTGTATCGTCATTGCAAATGGAATCAACACAAAACTTGGACAAAACATCGGCTTGCGATTAACCCTCGCCGGACCTATTGGTTTTCTACATACGCGCCGGCCGAGGGGGGGGGGGGGCGGGTACGACCCCCCTCGCCGTTTCGCCCCTGGTGGAGCTAGCGCGTCGCGGAAAAAACGAGCGTGTGCGCCGTTACGAGATGCAGAGATTGGTACCCAATTTTAAGGTACTAGGTCAACCGGTAACCTCTGAGGTCAGGTCAAGTGCCCCAAGGTACGGTTCAGTTTTTGGTGAATAACTTCGCGAAAAATGGCCGCAGAGCCGCGATTTTGCAGCATCGTGTTCGTCTCGCTCAGGCGCGTCGAATGATATACTTTTTGTTCGGGTCAGGTCAACTTGGGGTAATGACCTCAGGTCAAGGTCAGGTCAGCACCCCCAGGTCACGAAGTTGGTCGAAAGAGGTCATGTCGCATATCATTCGATTCGACAGGTCTTCCTGAGTCCATTGGTTGCTTTCCCGACTCGCTAGCTCAATTTGATCAAGAGTTATTGACGAAAAACGAATATGACCTTGATGACGTCATAAATGACGTCACGCAAGTGACGTCATTTTTGCAATGCGTCAATGCAAGTGACGCATTGCAAAAGTGACGCATCTAACCTTGAAAGGAGTGCATCAAATCACGATTCTGTGTGCTTGAGATAGTTGGAGATCGTTCCCGGCGCCAGAATAGCAGTTTGAATTTTTCCCCATTGACTTATAATGGTGAGGTCACGAAAATGACCTGACCTCATATGACCTTTAGGAAAAATCCGAGATATACAAGTTGTGAGACTCATAATGGATACTAGATCCTGCAAGTTTCATTTCCCTGTGACATCTCCTCTGGCAGTGAGGGCGTTGCGAAGTTGCGACATCTGAAGACCGTGCAGAGGTTCACTTATGACGTCATAGGTCAGTGACCTGACCTGACCCAAAAATGCGGTTGGTGTCAAAAGATGCGGCTTGGATTAAAGGGCAGGTATGCCAAGTTTCAGCTCTCTATCGCCAGCGTGTTCGGAGCTATCGCGAAAAAACTCTATGGGGGGGGGGCGGCACCCGCCCCCCCCTCGGCCGGCGAGGGTTAAGAAATAGGTATGAGTGCAAAGTTTCCGGTTTTTCTATCTTTCCCCATTGCAAAAATAT